GCGACGCAAGGACGATTCTTGCTTCCTCTGCATTAGGCAGTAAAGATTTAGTGAAGTGATTACCATATGCAGCTGTACTGGTCTGATAAAATTACACTGAAATAGTGCACTAAATTATATTGACAAGATACATCATCTTTGCATGCCGCACGTGCCGGCTGGCTGGGCTTTTTTTCTTGAACAAAGCACTATTCTGCAAAGCTAATGAGTATGTGGGAACGTTTCCAAGGGCAGAAAAAGCAACGGAGTTTTATGGCAGCTTTTTTAAATTTTATTTTTTATTTTTATTATTAACATTAGAGCTGCTCCATTTGCATTCATGAAGACAATCATATAGATGGCAAGACCACAGGTATAGTAAACTCAAATGCACCACATAAAAAGAAGTGATGTTCTCTGCTGGTGCTTCTAAAATGACCAGTCGAGTTGACTCTGACAGCGATGTCTCCACTGCCATATGGGTTTTCTAATACCGGACACAGCTCTCGCTTGCTAAATTCTCCTGGAGCCAGCAAGTTGCCACAGTTAAATCACATCACATCTGCTTACTGACTTTGTTTGGTCTGAAGTAAAATTACAGCCTGGAACCTCACTAACAATTTATCACAGAAGACAAAGGAGCATTGAAGATAAATCTAAAGGAGAAGATATTCAGGAGATGTGGAACAAAAGAAAGTAAAATTATCTACTTAAACTGGAAGTCAGTTCTAATTCAATTTAGCCAAACTCATAAGCAGCAAATTCTTATCAACATTAAATAAAGGAACCAGCATTATTTTGAGGTTTAAGGGTTATGCACATGATGAAGCTCTTAAGATAATTACTGAATCTCTTTTTGAAAGTCTTGTGATTTGTACGAGAGCAATAAACCACATAATATATATCATTAGAAATGAAGATGTACATTTAAAACTACCAAGAAACAGAATTGCTAAATGCAGATTCTTCTTTCATTTAAAATCATTCCTGTGCAAAGAAAAATGTTATTGGACCCCAGCCTGTGATCAGCTGCTTTTAAGGCTACGCCTTACATTTTCCCTCAGTTTTTATCACACAAATGCCTATTGTCACAACAACACATTTTATCTCCAGTTGTCTTTTCCCTCTCCTAAATTCAAATTTGAGGAACTCCAATGCAACAGAAAGCTAAATTATTTAAAAAAAAAATCAAGTTAATCTCTCTCTTTCCTTTTCAATGTAATCACAGTTTGCCTTACTCAGCCTTCGACGCTTACAGGCAAAACTAAAGTAAGGAAAGAGGAGCAAGAATTAAATTTTCATATGAGTTTTTAATAAACAATTGAAAGCAAGTTGAGAACAGATATTAAGATATAGGCAAAACTGCCTTGATGTTTTCAGAGCATAGAGAAGGCCTCTTCAGATCCTTACTCTGATTTTATTTTTTATTGTGTTGATTGTTCCTTTTTCAGCACTGCCAGTCTCCAACTGCCCCATCTACTGGCAGCAGAACACGGCTGGTACATGAACACAGGAGTGATCTGATACAGAGCTGAGAATGAGATCTGACAGTAAACCAAGAGTAATACAGAAAATGGAAGAAAAATTCAAGCATTTTCCAGACAGATTTAACACCATAGAAGGTATCTAATTACATACCTATAGACCTCAACCCAACACCTGCTCTTTTGTTGACAAGCTGTTTAGTAAGCATTTACTGATTCATCAGTGTTTCTTGTCTTTAGTTGCAAGTTCCAGGACTCTAAAGAGCTCCTCTCCATCACTTTGCAAGCATTTTAGAGCCTGGTTGAAGAACATTCAGTAAGTATAAACAGAGACATAGGTGAACCACAGCGGCATTAAGCTACAGAAAAGGAGCTCTGGCCATCCAGTTTTCTTCAAAGTCTTCAGTACCTTGAGCCCTTGAGAAGGAGCTTGTCTTTTCCTCACAAATCTTTTATTAGGTAAATTAGAATCTCACTAGAGATTTCTCAGAGGGAAATAACAAAAAGATGACTCCACCTGTCCTATTTCAATACTTTGTGCAGAACAGAAAGATGCCTCCATGTAGACTTATATTAATCCCTCTCGACTCCAGGGAGAGGAAAAAATAGGGGAGGGAGGTTTGTGAAACCATAGGACAACTTGCACTGGCAATTTAACTTTTGTCACTTTTGCTGATTGTTGCAACAAGAGAAACCCCAAAAGCACTGCAGTTATTCTATATATAATCCAGCATGCCCGATGCCACACAAAATCACTGTAGCAAAATCCCTCACAGAGGCAGAGAGTTGATCCATTATTCCTCACCAGGTACTTACCTTCTAGAGGCAAAAATATCTTTAGCCCTGCTCTCCTCCAAGGTCGTTGAGCCCAGTCCAGATCACATCCCAGTCTACATAATTCTGAAGTTTCCATCTAAAGGAAAGGCCAGCAAACTCACAAAAACTGACATGTTGCTGTCAAAATTGTGCCTCACACTGCTCGATGGATTTTATCCGAAGGAGGAGCTTCAGAGCTCACCTTGCAGTGAGACATCATCTGTTTCCACAGCACAGACGGGCTGGGTCTTTTAAATTAGTCTTCAGTAACTGCACCTTTCAAAAAAGGTCACCTCTCAAGTCCTCAGACATTTAATATGAAAACTGGGGTCACCTGGGAGCAGGTGTCCCCCCTGCAGTTTTATTCAACAAGGAACTCATTAGCTTGCCTCATACCACTATGGGAAGAAAGAGACTCCAGATTAATGGCATGACCAACATGCTTAGAAAAGTGGCTGCAGACAGGGGAACTCCTCCCAAGAAACCAGAGCGAGCACAGTGGAAGTGCAACTAATAATCCAGAAAAACCTGATAGAGGTGTATGAGAGGGGCTCCACAGATTAGCCCCATTTCACTCCAAAAGAATAAGCCAGAATAAGCTTTTGGAAAAGTATGCTGCCATTTCCAGGGAAGAGACCTGGAAGAAGATAACAGGTAGTCCAAGAAAGCTGTTGTGAAGCTTATCAGCAGGGCAAGCAGAACACTGCTAAAAAAAGGAAAGAAAACACTGAACCACAAAGCTCAGGAACAGGCAGGTCCTGCATCCTTTAAGCAGCCTGAGCTTTGCATTTCCAGAAAAACTAATCACATACGTATATAAAAAACTTACAAAAATTCCTTACTAAAGATAAACCATGCAATCCAGCACAACAAATACCAACAGAGATGCAACCCTGGACTTGACACTTTCTCCTTCCATACTGGTCAAATTGTTTTGCTTTCCAGAAAGGGAATCAGATCAAATGCATTGTAAACACAAGAAATGTGAGTGTTTCGCAAAAGTATTAAAGCTTGCAGTGGATAACTTTTCCTCCAGGGTCTTACTCTTCACCAAAAGCAATTCAGTCCATCAGGTTTAAAAAGTTTGCGCAAACTTACGCTAACTGCATAGCTTTAGAGCAAGCCTTTTCTCTGTGACGTTTTTATACCCATCTGTCAGCAGTTTCTATTTCTGTTGGGCAAAAAGGGTTTCAGGAATTCTGTTGTTTGCCGAGTTCCAAGAATGACAAAGAAAACCCACATTTTAAGAAATACATTTCTAAAAATCTTGACCTAGTCAACAATCCCTGTTAGTTAGGACAAAGTCAGTTCCACCGTTTCTGCGGCACTGAAAGTCAGAAGTTGTTGCTCTTTGCTAGACAGATCACACTCATACAGAACACAGTTTTCAGCAAGTACTAAAACCAGCTCTTGTATTTTTTCCCCTCCGGTGTACACTGCTTTTGAGGTTACAAAACCAGCTTCTATTGTGGTGTTGTGGCCCCAAAAAGCACCTAAATGATTTAGGAGCTAGCCAAGTCACAACCAACTCCCATGGCTTAGGGCTTAGAAGAGTACCTTCATGAGCAAAGTCTGAGAATGTGTTTGCCCTGAAGTCAGAGAATGTAAAGTTACTTATCCTAAGGGTAAAACCTGAAAGATCTCGAGCTCAAATCCCATGTTCAGAGAGGAAAGACAAGTGCACAGGTCCTGTTGCACAGTGCCTTAGGTGTCTTACCCTTTGTAATGCTAAGGGCCTTCTATTTTCTGTTCTGTAGACTGCCTTTCCCTCTGTTACCCTTTCACCCAAGCTGCTGGGGCAGCATTTTCCAGAGCCTCTGTAGCAGTGTTTTCCCTTGTTCCTGTGCTGTAACTACCCTAGGCTTGCACCTGCAAACCCCAATATCGCACGGTATGGCAGGTTCTTAAGGGAAGTGACGGCCACTAGTGTGCAAATCACCCCTTCCTTCTGTATCCCTTGTTGTATTTTTTGGTTTACATTAGGGGACTCAATAATACGGATGCTCAAAGCTTAATAAACCAATATGCACAAGCATCTGCCCCCAGCCATTGTATGCTCCAGTCAGCACTAACAGTATCGTAAGAGAAAACAATAGGGATTTCGCACAGGTCCTGATAAAAACTCAATAATTATTAACGGAATAGTATGATGAGGGAGACCACACGCTGTACCAGAAAGGACGCTCTGCGAGGATGCTCATTTGGGAATCCTGTCCCTTCTCTTCCTAGCTGGTCTCTGGGGAAAGTTTTCCCTGTCTCTTTTCTCACTCTGTCTTCCCCTCTCACTCCTTTCCCTGCATCCCCAAGAGTTTTACCATTAGAGCTGATGTATGCCATCAGCTACGGATCCACTAATAAACTTTTATGCATGCAAGCCTGTCTCAACATCTGTTGTGCAACACTCTTACACATTCATCTGTGAAAGTTTCTCTAAGTTTCTAGGTAGCCTACTTTCACCGAGTAAAGAGCAAGCTTTTTAAACAGTAGCCAACAACCTTATAGGTCCTACAGCTCACAGTACATCACACCACATTGAGACTTCATTGCAGCTACAGAGAGCACTACTGAAAGAGCTTTAAAAAAAATTAAGCAGTAATCAAACCGCAGTTGTCCTGGTACAATTTGTGCAGACTTGTCACTTTTGCATGTGAGCCTGAAAAGAGAGCAAAGGTGTTTTAAGGAACTTGAACTGAGTTTTTAATGCAATAAACTAAGCTTTACCTTCTGTAGGAAGAGGACAATCCTCACAAGCATCTTGGCATGCAGTTCCTCCAAGGTGAACAGAGTTCGAGGCGTGCGGATGAAAATCTTGGTCTTGCCATAAGCAACATCGTGCTGAAATCCATGACACTCTATGAGCTTCTTCACAGCATCTTTGTCTGAAGGCAGGTCATGGTTTGGCCAAGTGAATTCCGAGATCATCTTGTACCTGTAATTACAAAGTACAATTTACAAATGTAAACTTGTCATCTAGGCTCTCAAGAAGGCCAATCCCCAACACATTTTAGAAATAATTATGTTCTAAATTCTAATAAAATTGATTACATATAGAAGAGCCTCAAGACATCCTCTGTAGGAAACGTGATCCTCAAAAATCCAAGGAAAATTAATATGAGAGGCATGATTCTGTGAGACGCTGAAAAAAAATATTGTGAGGAGCTCAATTCATCAACACTGAACTGATGCAACACGACAAACCTCACCATTGTCTTCCTGCAGATTTGGCAGTTCCATCATTCACACTTACAGCATTCAATTTTAAATTTTATTTTTTTCTGCGAGGAAGAAAAGCTTTGGTTTGCTCATATTCTGCATAAGAAGCTAACTGTAATCAATTGTTTTGTCAGAAACCCTAGATTTAAAAATTCTGCAAATAATTTTCCTTGTTCATCATTTTGGTAGCCATTTCTAACAAATACTATTATTTACCAAAGTAGCAGATAGTTGACTGCCATGGTTTGTGCAAACGCCACTACTGCCTGTAATTGTTGTTCAGCCATTCCCTCCCATCCTTACTCTCCAAACTCCTTTTTACACTAAGAGAGAGAGAATGCAGGTTGGAACTAAGACAACTACAAATCAAACATGAAAGTAACTGCATCAGACTCTGCTCTCTGTAAGATTTACCAGCCTTGCAAAGTGCTGATTAGGTGAATAGATGTTTGCAAAAAGCAACAATGAAACTTCTGCATAAGATTTATGGACATAATCAAAAATGTAATAGACTTTTTCACTGTAATAGTACCCGCATTCATGTTCTAAATAAAACAAGCATGCAGCAATCTTAACCACTTCTCTATTTAAAAGCCCACAATCCAAGTCAAGCATCAATCTCAATGTTTTAGACATTCAGAATTTTCAGCTACTATTAAATGGGCGCAGCGATAAACCTTTTTACTGGGGAGCGGGTGCACTGCAGGAGTTACTAAACAGACTAAAATAAGCCTGAACAGAAATACATCACACTGTCGCTTTCATCCAACAAATTAGCCTTTCTGAATAAGCTGTTGAAGAGGGGAAAAAATGGAGGTGCACACTGTGTCTAAGCAGGGAACACCATCAGCGTGAGGGTTACAGCATGCAGACTAGGGATCTTACTGATAAATAAAACAGGCATATTAAAAAACCCTCCTCAGACTCACAACAGAAGATTTTGCATTTATACTTGGCTGGCAAAAGCATTCCTTCTCTCAAATACGTGTACACACAGGACATAAATATTTTACACTGGTTTCTCTTTCCTATTCTCATCAGGAAAATGTTCCTGCAGTAATTAATTCACTGGGAAAATCTTCCACCTTGAGACACTTACATTGGCGGGGGGGGGAAAGACAAGCAGAGTGGCAGTGCAAACCCACATGTTATTAAACAGGCCTGCTCCACTGACGGGGCCAGAAAAAAAGAGGGATAAGGTGTCAGAGAACTGAAAAGCTGCCCAAAAGAAAAGTTAAATTCTCTTCCTCCTTTACAAGAACAGGGCTATGGTATTTAAAGACATCCTGAGGCAAACGGACCACCTCCCTCCTAGCCCACAGGTGGTGGGACCAGTGGTGGAATATGGTGGCATCCTTTTGTTCCTCCCATGGCATGTGCGGTGCCATGCCACAAACTCCTTCCCCACCACAGAGAGCACAACCTGGATGCCACAGCAAGGCAAAATCCCAACCTCACTGCTAATTATAGTGAGGCAGAAGCCAAAATAAATCTGCTCACTGACACCACAACCCTTCCCCTGTCCTGCCTAGAGATCTTGACAGCTTTCAAGGTCATTTATTCATTAAACATCCCTTTCTACACCACCTTTGTTTCTCCTTCTCCGTACTTAGCTATAGAAATGCCCAGCATGCATGAGGTGGCTACTAGAGTTTACAATTCCCAGTATAGCTCTCCTAAGAACCAAGGCTTTTGCAAGCCACTGAATTATGAAGCTTTAATGAAAAATATCAGGTCTGCACATGAAGTTGGATCATACTCTTCTCTTACCACTGTGTGGTTCACAGCTATCTTGGTGTCATTTACATGCTATGTTTAACATTGCCTGGAAATAGGCATGTGGATGCCTTCATGGCGAAAGTGTTGGATTACGCTCACACGCGGCCATGCCTGCAGATGCCTCGCAGGCGCCATTCTTCTCCCTGCCCCGCACACATACCCCTTTCTGAAATCCAATCAGCTTTTTTTTGACAGTAAGTTATATATTAAAACAAAAGAATGCATCACATCTATTTAAGATACATGGTCCTGACATGCATTTCACCCAACTGGAAGATGTTTTTACCAAGTGAATGCAGGACATCTCTTGGTCCAACAAAAAAATATTTAGATCTTACTTTCTACAAATTGGTAAGGACAGACTGGTTTGCACAGAGCTCAAATAGAAGTTTTCTTCATTTCAAAGAAAGCTTGAAAAGGACATTTATTAATGGTCCTAACTGTGCTTCACTTCATTGCCTACTGGTCAATATGAGATATCAACTACCTTACAGTATTTTAGGGCTAAATAGCAATAAGCTCTTTTCCTACAGAAAGGAAAGTTATGTTTTATGTTTTTATATACACATGAACATACATATATATAAAAAAAATAAGCACACATGCACTCACATATACATATTTTTTTGTTTTAGAGAAAGAGAGAGCTATCTCTCTTTTCTATACATATCCTGATATGTATCTCCTGTCCCCTCCAAGAGGGATCAGCAAAACAAAACACAGGTATCTGTTTTGGGCTCAGAAAATCTGAAAGCTGCAGGGGCCTGTAAAGGAGTTAAACATCTGTTTATGGGACTGAAATTTTATAATATCTTTTGCATATGTAAGCAAGCAGATGACAAAGTTATGTCCCAAAATCGCTTCTCACTGAGTTACTCTAAATCTGTCTTAAAACGTGCCCCACATGCAGTGCAAGAGTCCAGAGCTGAAGGGCCTGGAATCTCTTCCATGTTGCCAGTCTCCCAATAAGCCTGTTAAATATAAAGGAACAGAAATCCCTTCTGATCTCTCTTCAAAAAACACTCAAAAAATGTGCGGCTTGTACCACAAATCATATCCCCCAGCCCCTGTAAGAGCCTATGTCTCACTCAAAAGACAAGGAATAAAGAATTTTTGAAAAAATAAAAACAATATCCAGGCTAGAAGTTTTTTATTTTTTTTTTAAGTTAGAAAAGTCAGTGTAGACTGGACTCGGAGCAATACTGCGATATGCAAATACAATGTCTGATACCTTACACTGTAGATGTTTAATCCTACTCCAGGGTCCAGCAGAACAAATGTTACAATAGCCTGAAAGCTGTACCATTTGCCATGTGCTAATTTGGTTTACTGGCTGTAAACACCACTTCTGGTCTTAAGCTTACAGGACCTCATCAAACATTCATTAAAAACAAAGCAGCTGTTTATATTAATAGTAATTACACAAATCTTAAGAGTAAATTGTAATGAATTCCACATGTGAGGGCAAAAGCACACTCTAACCACTGCATAATGTTTAAGAAAACTGATACGCAGCACTGTAGGCTGTATTTAGTAAGCCAGACCCTTTCATTCCACTTCAGGTATCGTGAAATATCCAGGCAAATCTCCACTGCGAACAGCAAAAGATCTTTCAACAGAACTTTGTTTCTAACGCATGACATCCCATCTGCTTGAATAGTTTAATTTTTTTCTACCCTTACGGCCTTTTTCTCACCTGATTCAGTAAGAGAAGTCAAAATCAATTTACTATTTCATCAGCAAGAGGTTGAATTCTTAGTACCCATGCTAATTTACTGAAGCCGTAAGACAAATTTCAATCTAAAACATTTCATTTGTCACAAGTCTAGTAGGAATTAAGAGGGCAAGAAGTATCAAAAACACATTTTAATGAGGTCACGTTACTATCTCTTTTTGAGACTTCCAGTTTTAAAGTCCAGAGGTTTCCTCCTGCACAGGCATAATGTCACTGTGCACCATCAAGTGCTTCCCAAGACACACAATGTCCGTCTGTCTCTCTCACTGCAACAATTAGACAATGTTCAGAGAGAAAACAGAAGTTAATTAGCTCTGGTTTTAGGGTTGTGCTCTGGGGAAGAACCTCATTACACGTTCCTGCTGCAGCAAGTAATACAGTAAATGAATTTTAGCAGAAAAGAAGTTGAGCCTGAGTGCCCCATATGCACCTATAAACACATCTGCTTCCACAAAATGAGAGCAACCATAGTCCATGTTAGACTCATGTTTTATCATACCCAACAGCAGATATTAAACCAAACACACCATCACCCGCAGAGTGAGGACCACGAGCCCAGAGGACTTAAGACTTACTCTTCACTCAAGGGGAGACAGCCAAATCACACACCTCATTCCAATGTCTGAGTTGTCTTGCAAAGAACTGAGTCACTTGCCAGCACCCTTCTTACCTGTGAAGAAACTTCTCATATGTTTGGCGGTAGGCAAAGCCTGCTCGGCGGACTCTCACGTTCTCCAAAAGGCCAAGGTATTCAACCTGATGCCTGCAACGCTCCTCGTCAAAAAGCTGTGGTGACTTCTTATCATTGGGCTTAATGCAACGGACATAATAGGGTTCCTAAGGGGACAAATCAAACCGAGTTTCACTCAGAAAGAAAAAAGTCTATGCAGACACAGCTGTTTCCTCATGAAAACAGGGGAGATGTCAGTCCACCCCAGTCATCTGAATGAGGTTTGGCTGCTTAACAGGAATGACAAGGTTAGAACAGAAATGACAAGAGTGGCACATAACACATTCCTCCCCTTAGCACACTGCAACGACATCTGTTACAGGATCAATGTGTTACTCATTCAAGTTCAACTGTCCTTTGGTATCTATCAGAATCAGTCCCGTATCACCCTTCTCTACAGACTTTGACAACAACAAAAACACTCTTCATAAAAGATAGAACAAACAATGTAATTCATTGCTACGATTGTCGGATACGGCTTTTCCCATACCAACATCTAAAAGCAGCATGGATTACTCTATAATACTTACACTATGCTGAATCGAGTTCTCTAAAGCCTGTAGCAACATGCTTGAATGATGGAAATCACTGAACGCTACCCTGTGCAGGGCAAAACCCCGCCACCTTCCATCCTAGCTCAACACCGCAAGCACCACACCTTCCACAGGACAAACACAAGCCACCAGCACACAAGTTCCTCTTTCTGCACTACCTTGGACTTGCAGAGCATTGAACGGGGTCTGGTGGCTTTACTCCACCCAGCACAGCCCGGGTGGTCCTGCCCAGAGCTGACTGGGCTGACCCTGGATGTTTCAGGTGAGAGTCCCACAGGGTCTCACACCTTGCACCGCCAGCCAGCCTGCACCCAGGAAATAAGCCCCATACACAGTCCTGCTAGACTGGTTTTGATGTTTACCTTTATTTTTATGAGATTAAAGGCAACTTTCATTTAGGCCAACATGGTCTATAACTAGCACCAGCCTATAAAGGGTGGCTATAAATCTTTTAAATGTATGTGCTTTCATCACAATGGGTTTTGAAGTCCATTAACTTCTCTCTTCATTGCTAGCCCTTGCTATCCCACTTTTAACTTTATTAGTGGCAGGAAAATCAATTAAGAAGCATCATAAAGGCCCACCTTAGTTTTTCAAAGTAAAATTGTGTTCTTATAACACTAATATATATTATTTTTTAAGTAGCCCTTGCAAAAGGAGTGGCATATTCTGCAGGTTAGCAGAGCCTACTGCCCACCAAGTCTCATCACTAGCCACAGCGAGAACTCAAATGTGGATCCCAGACAGCTCAGAAAGTCACAATATGTCCAGAGACTTGCTTCAGAGGACATGTCAAAGATGCACTTAAACTGGAGCATTTAAAAAATCAGTTTACAGCAATGCTAACATTATGATAAAGGGAGATAAGCAGCCTGTCTGAATTCTTAACATTAGAAGATGTCACCTTTCATAAACACAACTGATAATTAAGAATGAAATTTCAGCAATTTTCCCCTGGACTAGATGAAACAGGTGGCTGTGAAACCATCTGTAAAACTGCTCTGAGTAACCAGGGGCCCTTTCTCAAAAGGGAAACCCCAAGGGTTCTCCAAAGGAGTCTGTTCTGTTCCAGTACTACCGGATGGTTTCAACAGTGATTTGGATGAAGGAGTACAATGTGGGTACTAAATCTGTAGGTAATATATAGTTTCAGAGTGCAAGAACCCACAACGTTAACAAATGGGCTGAGTGGTCTGGAAAAAAAAGGGAGGGGGGGTTAATTTAGCAAGGACAAATGCAAAGTTCCACGTTTAGGCAGAAATAGTTGTATAATAAAAGAATGAAAAACTGATTTGACACTAGTGCTAAAAAAAGATCTAGGCACTCTAGCTGAACATGAGTCAAGTTCACGTTTTTCTAAGGAAGGGGCACAGGAACAGGAAAATTTTAAGACAAAAAAACCCCAAAAGATTTCTACTTATTTGAACATTACATTCAGTTTGGGGCACTGCAGTTCAAGTGGGATGCAAATGGCGGTGAGTCAGTTCAGGGAAGAACAAGAAAGATCAAAAATCCAGAAAATGTGACTCAGAGGAAATATGGTTTTAGTCTTCAAGGACTGAGAAGCCACATAACCATCCAATGTTAGACTTTATACACTTAAAGGGTAGATATAAAGAAAAGTAAAGATTCAGTTTTAGGACAAAGAAGGACTGACTTTAACTACAGCATAAGAATTCAGATTAGGCATCAGGAGAACAAGGAATGGGTACAGAATGCCTGCAGAAAGGAGGGGAACCTCCATCACTGGAGAGGAACAGCCTGAACAAGCACCTGCATAGAAAAGGTAGAGACAGAGATGCCCTCAAACGGGAGATGAATTCCCAAGGTCCTCTTTAGACCTATTTTCTGTGATTTGTCTATGATTTAGCCCCATTTTCTATGATTTTACATCACTCACCCAATCTCAGGATAATATGAAAGGCCCAAAATTGCTATTTTCCCTTCCATAATATTGAAGAAACAAGATCATCCTTGACTATCCTGGCTAGTCCTAACATAACCTGGAGGTACACAGCACTAATGAGAGGCACACGGAGCTTCCCCTCACTAACGAACATGAATAGGTTGAATATGAGTAATGAAAAGGCAAAGATATGGAGGCCTTGGAAAAGCAGAGCTTCATATCCTAGAAACTGATACAAACTGCTGGATCTTCTGGGGAAGGTGTTGGACTGGAACATTTCCCTGCTTTCTTAAGCATGCTATCAGTAGCATCAAGCTGTTCTTTTCTCCTGCAGGGCTGTCCTTGGGGTAGGAATATATGGCACTGAGGAGAGTGAGCAAAACCTAAGCCAATCACCCTTACAAGAGCTGGCAGCATCCCTGTCCTGCCTACCCTCCATGCAGCAGCCCAGGAGTGCGTAAGTAGGTGTGGGGAGTGCGTGGGTACAGAGAAGGATGCGTGGGCAATATACATTCTTATATCGTCTCCCTTCTCCTCTAGTGACTTCATCTCTCCCTATGAAGGGCATCAGGGATAGCTCTTTCACAGTCTTGTTTGGCTCCTTTCCTTACCAGGGAGACCGAGGCAAAGCTGCACGCAGTAGAGAAAACTGCCCCACTTCCAAAGAACCAGCTGAGACCCCTGGTAGGGCAGTGCTCTCTTCACCCTGCTCTTCTCTTCATATCCTCAGAGAGCAGCGGGCTCAAAAAAGGAAGGAATACTAAGGACACAACTTCCCCGGGGCACCAGGAAGCCAAGCAACAGCTCTGTTCTGCATGAGGTCTTCTACCAAGTCACCACCACATGAAGCACTTTCTTCTGCCATGGTAATTCAACACAACCCATACCTATGGTATTTGTTCTCCTTTCCTTAAGGAGAGAACGGTGAAATATTATGTGCTGGTACAGTTTAAAGAGTTCTAAAAGATTTACACATGAACTTTTTTGGCTTTCTCCTGAAAGTTATTTCTGTACTGAAGGTAAGAAGGTTTACAAGGGTCTTTATTCACTCAACAGTCTCCTACCAGCTCTCAGAACTTGCAATCTGCGTGGGTGACAATTTTTCCTTCAGTTGTAGAAGGAATGCAGCTCGGCTGTGCCACGGGAATGCAGCTGTCATCGGTGCTCTTCACGCTGTCTCAGACATTGTGTGTTAAACTATGAAGGTAGAAGCAGTCCTTTCTGAACTTTGAATCAGTGTTGAAGTAGGTTTGACGTGGTCATGGCAGCTATAACTGATGAGGAGTAGGAGTTTGCTGCACCTGATGGCTGCAATTTATAAGCTCTGTGTATTGTAATCTCTCAGTTGTATGGTAAGAAACAAAGGCCAGGTCATTCTTCTGCTAGAACAAGTCTCCTATATGACTGGAAATAAGCAGGTTGTACAGAGACTCCCCGAATTACACCTGAACTGAGAAGCTATGAAAGAGTCTGCAGTTGTGAAAGGGAGAATTGCAGACCATTCACCATCCCCTCTTGCTAATATTCGGCTTGGGCCAATTCTCCATTCACACGTTAGTTACCCTTAAGGACAGACCTATCTCGGTGTTAGCAACAGGATCACTAACATCAGAATGATGCCAGACGATGCCAGATCTGCCCTCAGTACTGTTGTGTAGCATCTGATGTCAAGATGAATATAAATCCTTTGATGAGATTGATATCACAAATATCCTACATTTGATCCACAGAACTACAACATCTTGAGAACACAGGTACCAGATTAAGGAGTAATTAGTAGCATGAAGTCAAGAAAGCGCATCGCCCCTGCTCTGCCTCAAGGGAAATGGCGTCACTTGTTCATTACTGACATTATAGTGTCCAGTGCACAGCGATTCGTTATTGCTAATACATAAACTCCCATCATCACTGCAAAGCTGGCTGCTTGGGTTGTCATTCATGTCTTCGCCATTCAAAAATGCAGCAAACCTCAATGCAAAAAATCTGTGACTTCAAGCCCAGCACAGAGACAATTGGCTGTATCTGCATTTGCTATAAAAGGCAGAAGTGAAGACGCTGCTTTCCTTTCGGAAAACAGAAATAGGAAGTTCCTGCACAGACAGGAGATCATCTATCAGTGCAATTACAGTGTAATTAAAGCCTCTCAGCAACGACAGCTACTAGGGTAAATTCTAAAGTAGATTATTCCATGCTTACAATCCCACCAGCCTCAGCTCTTCAGGGGGATAATTATGCAGCTCCCATTATTACACCATGAGGCTGTCAAGCCTGGGAGCTGCATTTTATAAACGGAAGAACTGAAATACAGAGACACAAAGGCCCCAGTTCCAAAAGCTGTTTAGATGTCCAATTGTAACTGATTTATTATTTTTTTTAACTCAGGCTGAGGGATTTTTAGACTTTTAAGTGTTAAAAAGAAAACAAACCAGTTTAACGTCATTGCTAAACAAACTCCTCCTGGAGAGATTTCTTTTCCATAGTTTATAGCTCGTTAGATAAGGGAGACGACACAGGACTGACAAGTTTGTGCTGGATATGTCCAATCAGTCACAGTGATGACATTATAACTTACTAGAGATGAAGCCTGTCAACCTGGATAGGAGAGGAGAGGTATGGAAGAAAGAAGAGTCAGACAAAAGGAGTTACAGAGAAGGAGAGGAAAAAAAGAAAAGAAAAAAAAGGGGGAGGGGGGGAAGAGATGCATGTCCAGTAAGAGTTCCTAGAGAAGCTCATCATTTACACCATGTCAACCAAAGGACTTCCTGTGTCAGTATTTAAAAGAAAAGCCACTCAAAGTAATCCATCACAGAAAGACCAAATTCTCAAGAGAATAGCACGGGCAGTAAAACATGTGCTTGAGAAATGTTACATGGCAATTCTGTAAAGCTAGTTTTAGTTTTGGTTTGTTTGGGTTTGGGGGAGAAAAAAAAAAAGGCACTTTTTTCTACCTACCAGAGGTTTCTGCCCAAAAGACTCTCAGTGTAGTAAGTCTGGAGGATTACGGTATTATTGAGATACCAGTACTGATAAGCGCCACTTCAACTCAGCATCCTCCAAAAACCTATTTCCTGAGTCTTCATACTCATATGGACATGTGCATACACCAGCTGAGGTCAAAACTGTATTTATGAACAGCTCCTGCAGCGTTAACAACAGTTTTATGATACTCACCCTAATGGAAGCATCTGACACCCTAATAACCACACCACCTGCCTCTTCCTCTCAGGGACCACAGAACTGTGCTTCATTACCAAATTCCAGATTTAAACCAGAATACCAACAAAACAGAATTTTAAAGGTGGTTATTTTAAATACCGGAAAAGTTAAATAACCAACTAATGCTGCAGCTACTGTATTCATAGACTTTGAGCTTTGTTTCTGATATTATTATTATTATTATTATTCCTGCCCACCAAATTAGCATTTTTGGAGACTATTCCCCCAAATGACAGGTTTAAAGATACTGTTGATACTGCCAAAAAACGTGCAGCTTTCCAGTAAGGCCAAACGAGTATCAATGAAGGAGAGCTCTTGGACTGCCATTCTATCTGAGGACTGTAGAAACAGAGCACATAAATATGCTTTAAAACAGTTTACAGAGAAACATTAAGCAAGCAAGAACAGCCTAGGTGGAATGGGAGGCCAGGATGAGAAAAGCAGCGCTGACTGCACTTACACTAGTAAATCATCAGCTCAAACTGCAACAAAACTCAAGCCTATCTTCTTCTTGTTTTTTTGAGAAACAACTGAGAAAAGCATGAACTGGTATTACCTCTCCCTATGGAACCTTATTCCTCTGACATCTGTACACCACAGCAGCTAACACCGCTTGTGCAATGCTGTTTTCAGAGAGCTGTTTTCATCAGCTGTTACCACAGGCTTCCCAAAAAAAGTCCTGCAGGGTCCAAACCGCAGTCAGACACATAGACGTTGTCATTGTTGATCCCCAGAAGTGCAACTCTGGTCCCAAGTTAAGCACAGGAAAAATGAGTAACACAACCCGAGGGAAGAATTACAGTACCCATAACTGCAATGAGTGGTGTCCCCCAAAGAGACAGTGGTTTTACCGGCCCAGGAACAGCAACTGTTCACCCGCTCTCCAGCCCCCAGCAGAAGTAAGAGAGCCAAGACAAGTATCCAAACTGGCAATGACTCAGAGGCAGAGCATCCCATTTATTTGTGCATAACCAGTATCTAGCAAAGCATGGCTTGAATGCCCAGTTATTAGCTTGCTAATAACATGCACATAATTATTAACTGTCTAAAAAGTCACCTCAAAGAGATCCTCAGGGCAGAAGGGCCAAACAGAAGCACTATCTCTCTGCACTCTGTTTTACTGTTTGAAGTACACAATGGTTGTGTTCAGGACCCTTATCTAAGCAGCCTCTCCTTTCTAGGACGCACCAAAATTTAGACCCTTTAAAGTAACATAAGCTTGAGTTCAGGATGGGTCTCACCAATTTATTTTGGTTTTTAAGATGCATAACAGCCAGGATCTCCACTAAAAATAGCTAAAGCTCAAAAACGTAACTTAGTTTGCAAACTTAAGTACCTACAAACACTGTTCTGCAAGGAGCGTTAGCCATGTAAACTTTTAAACAGCAGACTCCAAAGTGCAAATGTCACCGCGTTCATTCCAGCTCTCCATCATGCTAAAGGTTGGCCATAAAACACTGCATAACCAAGACAGCCCTCGGCTCCTTCCTGCTTGGCAAGAGTCCTTGTTCAGTCCTGACAAACACACTTGTTTAATGACAGCCTTCCCTTTAATGGGATCCATAATTCTCTGGGAAATACAATGCTCTAAGACAATTTTCTTCATTGCTATTCAACAGAAAAATCAGGAAAACCCCAACATCTTCAATACAAGTTTCTTAATGAAAGTTTAAGGAAAGTAAAGAATGGGAAAGGACTATACCGAGACACACAGAGGAACCTCCTAGTGAATTCACGAGCTTAAATTCGACTTGGAAACAGCTCCTGGTTATGGCCTATCCTTGAAAAAGGCTGACATTTGTGATAGAGATACCAATGATAAATGGACTAAAACTAACTCATTTCACATAAGCCAGCCAGGCTTCAATGATGAATTCTCGTACCTACTGACTCAAGATGGATGATGTGCGATTTAACTCTTCATCTCCTGCTGTGAGTTGCAGGAATTGTTCAAACCACCACAGCACGTGGCATTCTCTTGACTATTCTATTTTTACAAATACCAGGTGGCCTAGAACAATTTTTCCAATAAACAAGCAAATGAAGTTTTTCCACCAATGCTTGCTGAACATCCCCACCAACAGCTCCCTATCCTCCCTTGATCACAGCCCTCCACTACAACACCCCCAGTTGCTGTCTGTATTGCTCGAAACACCTCACTGCAGTGCATCAGGTTCCCTACCCATTTGGCTAGGCAAGAGATAACGTGACTGCTCTGTACGACCGAGAACTGCACTAACCACAAGCGGCATCAATCAGAATCTTCTTTCTTCCTTCCCCAACTACTCATTTTCACAACACACAGAGAAACCTCTCTGGGTTCTTGACATCTCTATACCAAATTTAGGTTAGGGCTAGCCAGCAAATTATTTGGAAGACTGACAGATCAGGTAAATCTTGACTCCTTGGAAAGTCTGACTAAAGCCTGTCCTCATCTCCCTTCCATCAGGGTCGCAGCCATCTTCTTCAGCCCCAACAGCTCATGATTTGCCATCCAGGAAAGCTCCTCTCTGGCTGCACAGGCAGTGGGGTAGGACCTCTCTCAATCTCTACTAATGGTGCCTGCCTAAAGCAAGACCTGGCCTTCGGCTGGGCTAAAAAGGGCATCCTCTTAGCAGCCCTTAGTCAAACAGTACTGGGGAGAGCGATGGGGCTTCATTCCTCAGTCAGGAAGCTCAGCTAGCACCACAAGACAGCTTTGGTCAGGCTTGCATGCCCTCCTGCAGATTTATTGCTGAAGATTAAATCCACTCCAGAACTAGAAGTCAAAAATATAAAGCAAGCGTGTTTTCACCTCCTAATTCTGGAAAACGTGAAGCAATATATTATTTCTTGTAATATTCCCAGTGAGGATAGCTTTCTCTTCCTATGCACAGCCAGCACTGTATGACTGTGCTCTGACCAAGACAGCACCTATGAAGATTTTGTTACTCACAGGGCTGCCACTCCAAGCAAAAATTCAAATAGTACTCTACTCTTCACAGAGTTGTCTTATTAGAACAAGGATTATCTTTCTACAAAGCTTTTCCTAGCCTTACCACATCTGCGTGCACGTTCTTCCTCCAGATCTTCGGCCACTAACATTTCGTTTCCTACCACAACTCCCAAGAAGATAGTCAGAACACATTGCCCTTTATTGCTTAATTATTCTAAATGCTAACATATATCACTACTCTGGGCTCACTGTTCATCTCTTGTGAACCACATACGCCTTCTACAAGGTTACCAAAATGCCAGGAGTCCAGCAAGGTCACCTGGCATCAGTAACACCCAAATAATTCTTAGTGATCTCAGCTCACATGAGGGATCACACTACTTGCCTCATCCTGCCACTCAGCTGCACTGCATTCAAACAGCTCCTTTCCCAGTTCATTCCCTCAGCTACCTTTCTTCACACAAAGTGGTGCTTGCCAAAGCAATACTTTCTACTATAACTTAATTATTTAATAAAATAAAAGGTTTCACTTCTCACTCTCTGACACAGCAAAGAGGAGGAAAGAAGGAAATCATGCAGGCCTGCCTGTATTTTCATGGAAGTCACTTGGCATTGAAAACCAGAAAAAGAGAATCTCTCTACCGTGAAACTACATCCTTTGGGCCGCCTGCCAAAAGAGCTTTGTTAAAGATTATTATTTATTTGATATAATAATTATTACCTAAGAGACTGGCTTTCCTACAAGTGAAAGATACACTGGTCACAGAGGAAACAAAAATCCACCTTCTTTATGTGGGGATGGCAGCTAACTCTCCTAGGAGATCTTCACAGCTGCCCATTGTCACAACCAAAGCTCATCTGCCATTGATCAGCCTGGCTTTCCAACTAATTGCAGTGATAGGAAGGTGGCAGTCCCTCCACGGAGAAGCTACACCCTACTAATCAGAAGCTGGAGTCAATTTTGAAACAGAAATATTTACCTTCGATGCCAGGTTGTCCACTAGTGCAATCATGGAGTTCTTAAAAAGAGTAGCAGCTGTCAGAGGTCTCTTGGTTACCTCAGTGATGCTCAGTTTACCTTCAGGCCACATCATCTTCAACACAGGGTTAGAGCTAAAAGACAGTCTCTTTAATTGCACAGTCTAAAAGCACTTCTGCTAAATTCAGAATTCAACAGCTTGCTTCTACCCAGATCTACTGGTGTTTTCAGCTCAAAATGTATCAGCCAAACCAATATGACATTCCTGGGCAAGATATCTCTTGCTCTTGAGCAATATATGGTTGAAGCTTACAACCAAATATTCTGGAAAAATGACAAGCGCATTCTCCTCGTCAGATAAAGATGTGTAGTAATGGGATAGTAAAAATCCTGCAGAAGTGATCTATCAAAAGCAGAGCCTGCCTTACTGACACAAACATAAAGAATTTAATCAAAACAGAAGAGAGTAAGACCATAGCCCACAACATCCTCCCTTGAAACTTGCTATCTTATTTCAAGCTGGTTTTCTGCACCATTCTTGATATATAAAGTAATTTATACATTTTAGCCTATATTTTCTTGAAGGGTTGAAGGTGAGGTAAAATGTCCATGATGGATGGCAAGAGCTCTGGAATAGACAAAAGCTGAAAGCAGTTACAGCAATCTAATAGCCAATCTATCACATGCTTTAATATGCTGTAAGTGGTCTTTGTGAACAGCCTTTACCAGAGAATTCAAGGAAAACAGAGGCTAAATTTAATAAAACCTCTGTACAGCAAATATTTTGCAGGTTTTTGGTTAATGTGAAGTCTTGAAAACACAAACAGCAAGACTATTCAAGTAAACATAACAGGATTGTGAACTAAGTTAATACTTGTACTAGCTTTTAAACCAGGTAAACAGAGTTGTCCATGCAGCTGCAGGCTATTTTATGCTGACATCTACCTCTGAGCAAAGTCTCTGAAAGGTTGAGATAGGCCACAGTCACAAAATAATTAGAACATGTTTAATGCCAGCAGACAAGGAAAACAGCTTTCTGGGGCACTTATAGATACACAGACATTTTGACAGGATTTCAAATTTGCTTGTCAAAGGCAACTTTTACTTGCCTGATTAGTATTCATAACACGTGACTACATGGTTTAAATTTTTCATGTCACTGCACATATGAAAAGGATTCAAATCTATTTGCCCATTTTCCCCCCTCACCCCTATACTTTCTTTCAAAACAGGGACTTCTAGCTGGGGCAGTGATTATCTGTCATTGACCAAATGCTACTCGGTATCTTTAGCATTGATTAAAGAAAGATCAGTAATGGTACATTTGCAACTGGTCCAAAAACCTGGTTAATGACAAATCAAGCAGCACAGGTAATCTCTGCACAGCTATCTTGATTGCATGAGTTGGTTTCAAACACACATTCTAAATTTAGTTAAATTAAAGGTTATATCAGAACAAAACCAACGTATACAGAATAAGGACTTTATCCTGAAAAATCAAACTAACAGCCTTTGGGTCATGGTGGATATACAAAGATCAAATCCCAAAGCAATGTGTTTATTCACGTGCACTGCACACACAGTAAAGATAGCATCAGTGAAAACATTAGTTTCTTCTAGCATCCACTCTATAAAAAAGGATTCAGATAAATCAGATTTAAATTCACCTCCTTAATATTTTTATTCCTACCTGTTGTACATGAGGCGCTTGAAGTCTTGAAATAAAGTGTCCTTGTTTTTGTCAATAAATCCAGTGACTGAGTAACTGAAAAAAAGGAAAACAGAGTTAAATGCAAAGAAACAAAGTCCTTTTCTGGGCTGCTGGTATCAGTGTGGAATCAGCATCTTTGCACTCCTACAAACACAGCAGATGCTAGTCAGGAATCCAGCTCTGTTTCCCAACCTATCACTAATTTGCTGCATGAGCACTGTGTGAGACTTAGATCTTTCTGCCCAGTTTTCCACCTCCAGTGCAGGAACAACATACATCTAGTTTTAGAAAGCTATTTGAACTATGCAGGTGAAGAGCATGATGGCTGACACACCTAGCAGGACTTGAGCAAGTTGCAGATGGCCTAAATTCAAGAGTTACACTCAAGACTTCTGCCTCTAAATTCAGAGCATGCGTTTGTGTTAAATCCTACAGGAATGATGTTTTCTTTTTCAATATGTCTAGTCCGTCCCTCTCTTGATGTCAGGGAAGATTCTCTAGTGGGTGAGTGCCTGAAATCAAGAGCAGCCTATAACCAGTGACTAGGGAACTCTCTTGGAAATCAACACACACATTTTGGACTCTTTCCTTCCTCTGTTCCCACAGAAATACCACCCTGAAAGACTATCATTTCAGAGTTTCATCTCTTCTCCAAGACTCAAGACAGACAGCGCTCTGTCCTCAAAGAAAAGGTCCAAAATCTCCCCATTCAGTGACTCCCACTCAGTTCTTCTGGAGCTTCAGATACCCCCCAGCGAAGCCTGCACCTGAACTGCAGGCACTGGGATCCAGAGCCCAACAACGTTCAAATCCCTGCACGGAGCCACCCTCAAATCGTACTGCTCCACATAACACAACTAGGCTCAAGTATTATCTGCAAATATTTCCACGTTTCAGTTTTCTTTTACAAAATTTTTCAGCCACTGGCAGTGCAGAAGGTTCAACCACTAATATGGCACCTCGTATTTTCTCCTCCTTGGCAAAATGCTTTGAAATAAGGGGTGTCTATCTGCAATCGCTCAGCAAAGACTGCATAACAAAATCTAGCTGTGCTGAATGGGCTCCAGTATGATCCCACTGGTTACCCTTACAAATTAAAGGTAAATTTAATCCCAAGGTAAAATAAATCCTAAATTATTTCCTCATTAACTCCCTTTAGATTCTGCTGGCATGGGGAGTTAACACAAATCCTAAACCATTAAATCACTCCACTGATATTCCAGACAACAGCTTTCCCAGGGAACAGTTTCTAACATATGGGCATCTTTCACTTCTACTTAATCTTCCTTCATATTACTGTCACATACTGTAGCCATTTTTGTAGGCTTCGGGTACAGAAAACTTTTCAACCTGAACAGGGAAGGCTCCTTGCACTGATACTTTTTGCATTTTAACACTACCCTGTATTTTGAGTCTGCTCAAACTGATTTGAGAATTTAAAGCCAGAGAGTTATATAATCATACTAAACAGATGTCTAAACCAGATTTTATTAGCTCAGTATAGTTTTCTTGCATAAACTGTGCTGGCTTTTTTTTTGACCCCCATCCTTTTTTTTCCCTAAAGCACTGCTCTTCTCTCATCCTCCCTCCCCATATTCTCTTTTTGTTTCAATTCCAAGTACAAAATGATATTCTGTATAGCAAGTAACCAGCATAAGATTTAATTGATAAGCAACTGCTGCACTCTGTAATTCTGTATGACAGCTATTCTGGTTCATACCAGAAGCAGCATTAAATTAGAATATTGTACCACTTCAAAGCTAGCTAAAAGACAAAAATAGAAGGTGCAACTTTATTTCTGAAAGAAACTTACATCACATCTCCAGCATAGTGCTTGATTCGAAAGTCTCTGTCAAACTCCAGCGTCTTGTCAGTTGCACAAAGCTAAAATAAATTCACATACATTAAAACTCACCCATGGATTTTCAAGTTTCATAGAAGAACAATATGCATTGGAAATAAAAAAGGAAACTACAGTTATTCCATTTTATATATGCATGTGTAGATGTGAAATCCAGTTATAACACTGCTTTGTAATATTTTTTCATGGATGCATTATAAGAACATATTTGTACAAAATCAAGTTGCAAGAGCCTATATTTTTATTAAAAAATTGATGCTATCTCAGAAACACCATTATGCAAAAAGAACATTTGTGCACTTAGAGAAACATTGCACCTAGAAGTTAATTCATTACTTTAAGTCTTCCTGTATATTTTTTTCCATTGCAGTATCACTCCTCAGCAAAGAAATGAAGCAATCAAAATAGGACAGTTACAATAGCAATGCTTGTTCTGTCCCAAGTCACTCTGGATCATCTAAGATCCACCCAGGGTGGTCACAGCTCCAACCCTCTGCTCTCAGCTCAGACTTCCCATCACGTTCCTTTAGTACAACGATGTCAACTGCCTACATGGCAGCCATTCAGTAGCAGTGACCATAATACACTCATCCCTTCAGGAGTAACAGAAGCCAAAAAATTCATCAGGCTCAGCTTGATTAAAAAAGGTGAACAAGATAAAAATGAGCCAAAAGGGGCAGGTAGATGAATTAAGTCTTTGCAAGAAGCATAGACACCATTTAAAAACACCGAGGGCTATGAGCAAGTATCTACTATCCACCAAAAGTCTTGGGAAAATAAAAGAGGAAATTAGCATGGTTAAACAGCAGGGCAGGAGAGATTATTAGAAGCAGGAAGATATCCTCCAAAAAAGTTTGCCTGTGTCCAAGAGTAGAAAATAGATTGGCTCAAACTGACAGATGTAATAAAATAAAATATTTAAAATAAAATAATTACAAAAAAAAAATCACACGGAGGAAATCATAAAGTTTGAGTAACAAGGTACACAGAAGGTTACAAAGGTACAAGTAGTCCAGCACAACAGGAGCAGGAAGCACACCAGGGTCTGCAGAGCTGATAGATGACCAAGGTGTAGAAGGAACACAAGAGAAAATGAAGAAATGAGGCCATATCAGGAAAATAAAGTAATTTTTCTTTTTACAGCTGTGTTCACCAGCAAGGAGCTGTGGAGGATGTAATGCCTTTTTTCAACCACCCAAAACATGCATCTCAAACCTACACGTCAACAGAAGAGGTATAAGACAAGCAAAAACATAATGAAATGAAGCAACTGTTGCTACCAGACAGGACACAGCTGGCTGCACAAGCTTCTCGCTTAAAACTCATCCAATACTGGAGAGACTGGAAGGCGGTTTAACAGGATGCTAGGTTTTTTAAGGAATGTTTCTCTCTGTGAACTTCTTGTCTACTGGGCAAATCAGTTGAAAATACTAAAAAAGAACAGCAAGTGTATTGATGTAGTTGATAGTCTGCTTGGATTTCTGTGAGCCTTTTCACAAGGTTCCTCACTAACAACTCAAAGAATTTAAGCTGCTATGAAAGATAAGAGAAAGGGTCCTCACACAGATAACTGTTGGAAAGATGGGAAACAGGAGTCCTGCGGGGGCCTGCACTGTGGTCTCCACTGTTAACATCATCTGAAATGATGCATAACCTGAGGGTAATAGGAAGGTGATTAGGCTTGTTCATAGTACTTAATTATTCAGGGAAGTAAAGACAATGGCTGGCTGCAAAGAACTGCAGGAAGACATGAGAGGCTAAAGGAATGGCAAAGAAGAGCAAACGAAATTCAACATAAATACAGCGATACACACAGAGAAATGCCAAAGTTCATGGCAAATGATGGGCCCCAAACTGTCCATTCCCAACTCAGCAAGTATCTTAACTACCCTCTATCTCAAAAAGGACACAGGAGAACTGGAAGCGGCTTGATGAACGGCAAAAACGATCAATAGTACTGACTGACTGCTACAGGAGGAAGGGCCAAATGAACTAAGCCTCTTCAGGTTAAGAAAGAAACATCAGGAGACCATGGCAAACGACATGGAGATGATGTATTGGAAGACATACAGAACTGTGTTTTGCTGTTCAAGAACTAGGAGGCAACAGATGTAACCTACAAGGGAAAAGGGAGAAGGAAGGAAAACGGGAAGGAAGGAGCTCTTCACGCGAGTACCTAAGCTGTAGAATTCTTTGTCAAATCAAAAAAAACCAACCCCAAACCCAAAACAAAACAAAAACAAAAAAACAACACAACCCAAACTATTAAGGACACCAGCCCTGACTCAGGAGGTTCCTGGACTGCAGATCACTGGAGACTGGGAGCATATCAAATTATCATTATGCATTTGTCCCATATTCTTCTGTCACTTAAGACCTTCACTATTGCCTAGTGTCTTGGAAGATACTACATCGGGTGGACTAGAATGGACCTTCTCCTACACAATGCCTTCACAATCAGCTTGTTGAGATTGAACTAATGAGAACTTACCACTATTTGAAGATTTAGGAATTCATACACTATCTCTGCACTTGATCCTTTAAAAGTATAAGATCAACTGAAAAAAATCAGAACTTAAAGAGGCTGAAAAAATGAACCTGTGATGTTGAGAAGTACTATCAGAATAGTTAGCATTTGTACAGATCTAGATTAGCATTACACAATTCAAAGAAGGATGACCCATGCCCTAGGAACATAAAATTTTGCCACAAATACTCATAGTGGAAGTGTTTGCCAGTATTTTTCCTGGTTTGTTTGGCTTTCACCAGGACAACCAAGCAGACAGCAGCAGATCAGACATGCAGTACACAAACTAGGACACTACTATTTAGGGCACAGCAGCCCCTTAGAGCTTATCCACATGGAGCTAGTGTCCAACACGCTCTACAGGGGAGCAGTGAAGCATTAACTCAGGCTGAAAGATGGGAGCTGTTCCCATAACATATCAGCATACATACTTTAACTCTTGAGGAACAGCTTCAATCTACACTGAACTTTATAGGATCTGGACAGAACTACTGCAGTCTACAAAAGCAAATTATGAAATGAAATCAAGTCCTTTGTTTTAATTCAAGCTAGAAGAGCTTAGAAAGCTGGCTTAGAAAGCTCAGGTTTCCTACAGCAGTTCTAGATGGGACTGAGGAAGATATCTTAGATACTGGTAAAGGACATCTGCAAAGACACGAGAGGGGGAAAAAATAATTATGATGCTGAGAGTTTTATGGGTCAATTTTTTCAAGGCTATATTGATTTAAATTCGAAATTAGCAAGCCAGGAAGATACATCATACCCTCCATAAACATTATTTATGCCAGTATTCCTTGTTTCCCTCTTAGTCTGTGCAAACAGTTTTCTGACAATACCACCCCCTACTGAGGAACGCTGCAACTGGCAGTATTTTCTTTTAATGTTTCCTATGCTGCGAAGGGACTCCTGAAGGTAAGGACTCAAACAGATTTATTTTTTTTTTAATTTTCATTTCATAGCCTCCCATATACTTTATGAAATTCAGTCCTCTTCCTCACTGTATCAAAGTACTACCTGCACTCTTCATGATGGAACCATGCCACCTTAGCAGACATGGGACCAAGGACAGAACAGAAACTGAACTCCTTTCTCTACCAGCTTACATCTATTGACTAGAAAGCTCCAGAAACTGGACCACTTCCCACACCACCCCACTGCAGAGGATTTAAGACTCCATCCCCCCAGGCTTCACTATTCACAATCATTAGTACTACTAAAGGAATCAATTTGCATTAAAATGTAGAAATGCAGACTAGCTCCATGAAAATACTTGTTTTCAGGTGAGTTTACTCAGAATATGCTGTGCATCTGCTGCTTAAGCAGGTAAAATCTAGGTTAAGGTGGAAAGCAAGATTCCCCTTTCCCCCTCCCTCAGCTAGGATGCATGTGGCAGAGGAGATGTCAGGTGTGCTGCAGCTAAAGGGCACTTAAGGAAAGTCACATCTGGGAGGAAAAAGTGGTTATTTTCTTTTCATCCTAGCCTCTATCCAAACAAGCCACATCCAGATCTATTGTTTATATTCAGCCTCCCTGGAGGCAGCCTTTAGCACATATCTTATACAACCATGCTAATTTTGTATTTCTGACCTACATAAAATATTGTACTGGGGTGGGAGGGAGAAGGGGGGAACCAGCATTCTGAATGATGTATTTCAAACGACATTTCTCAGTAGAGAGACATCAATAAATTAAAGGCCCTTATTTGATTACTCAATGTGAAAGATTCTCAAATTAATCAGGCTGGTGACCATGTTTTCAATATGCTGCCAAGTGAGGAATAAATAAAGCCTTTTAATTCGTACATTGTACCAAAAACAAAGCAAATCGAGGGGCCTGGATGATCATAGGTACAATCTGAGATGAATATGTTTTGTAGCCAATGACGATGAAAAAAAAAAAATCACAGCGCTGTAATAAAGCAGAAGTGTGAATAATTTCACTGTCACTATGTATTAGAGCAGCCTGGGAGGAATGTCACATGGGTTGAAACTGCACATCGATTGGTTACAGATGACATCATGATATGTCAAGGCACGATCTCAGCTTCTTTTATGCCCGGAATAAAACTGATCTCACATTGGACATACTTTAGCTCCCTCTGCCGGGTACAGGGCCACCCGAGGCGTGACCTAAACCCACACCGGACGGCCTGTTCCGTACTTCGGAGCTGCTGCTGCTGCTCACAGGCATTTCATTTCATACTCAATGGTGACAATTCCAACCTCAGCCACCCTTCGAGTCTATTTCCTCATTCCATTATGCCCCCCAAAATAGAAAAGGTATCACACAGGAAAGGAAGCAAGTTTTGAGGGTACGGAGGAGTACGTTACCTTTCTGCTGGAGAAATGAGCATGCTTCCCTAGCTTGTTATTAAGAGCCTCAAGGAACATCTCATCTGTAACTTTTCCAACATTCATGCAGGCATCGTCCAGAATGGCAATGATCCCTTTGTGCTGCTGCTCTACCAGGTCGACGATGACCTGATTGTTGAAGTAATCAATCTGTAAAAAACAAAGAATGGGTATATTTGTGACTTTGGCTAGTGAAAAAGGAGCATACCAGTGTTGGCCACTGATGAATAGTACCATGTGTCTGACAGAGAGAATGGGGCCCACCGTTCAAAGGAGGAGCGATCAGCTTTCAATATGCACATCACCAAGTCAAAATTAAGCAGGCTACTCTTCTACCACTAAACAGCAGAGAAGGCAATTTTTCAAACACCTCACATAAATCTTGAGACCGCTGCTAAAAATCAACTGCTACAGAATGCACTTTAAAATGTCTTTTGAATTTCAACTGTGCACAGTCACCACAGTGAAAACTGTGCATCTTATCCTTGGCATTATGAAAGAATTTGAATAGAACTCAAGATTTTTACACTTTAATACCTAGAGCTAGACAAAACACATAAGCACACAGAACAGAAACACACAGTGATGTGTGTGGCATCACAGAGATGCCACAATATGTTTTAACTCAGACCTGGAGTCACTTATTTTCCCACACCATGGCAAATAAAGAAATGTTGTGAGGTAATTGGTTAGCTTCTTCCACAGCCTGATTTCCAGACAGCAAGTCTGACAGTACAGCTGGCATGGACACAGATGTCCTATCGACTTCGACAGCAGTGTACATGTGGAGCAACTTTAGATCTGGGACTTATGCTGGTACACTGACCTCAAGCCGACCTCTCCCTCCCCTGCCAAATCACTCACATGCTTCCAGGGAATTCCCTCTCGCTGGTACTCTTCCTGCTCTTGCTTTAAAACCAGCTGAATAAAGAGCTGCTGTAGCTTTTCATTGCAGTAATTAATGCAAAATTGCTCAAAACTGCAAAAACATAAGAAAAAAGGTGGTAAGTTTTCTGGGAAAGGAGAAGGCAAAGCACTGTGCTTTAACAACGTGGCTCACCTGTTATTGTCAAATATTTCAAAGCCATAGATATCCAGGACGCCAATGACTGTGTTTTTCCCATGTATTGTAGTGTCATAGTTCTTCACTTCAATCACATCATTGATGTGTGTCACAATCCAACAAAAGAGGCGCTCGTATATAGCCTGCCAAGAAACAAATACTGAGGAATTTTGCCTGCATCTGTCTCAGTTCTTTCTGGTAAATGCAACACGTGGTGCTACAAAGCTTAATTCAGGATGCTGCCCTAACTACACAAAAGCTACAGATGACATTCTGCTGAAAGTGAACAGCTACTGACGTGAAGAAAATATTCTATGAAAGTATTTTTTTTCTTTCTTCCAAAACTCATTTACATGACTTCTAAATCCTAGTGAGGTCACTAGGTACAAGGGTTCCCCTAATTTGATTCCAGTCTGCTTTTCAGCTGCGTAATAACTTCCATACCTGAGAATTATTTAACAATATTGAAGAGCAAGGGAGAGGTCAGGTATAGAAACCTAACAACCGAATACAATGGCAGTAAAATATTCCTGTTCACTTTTCAAAAATAAAATGTTCTTTAGGCATAGGTATCTTCAAAGTCTAGATGTTCAAAATGTACTGCAAAGCTGTGCAAACATATAATCTTAGGAAAAAAAGTCAAGTTAATAATCAAGGATCTTCATAGCCTCATTTGTTCTTCCCTTATCATTTGATTTCTTAGCAAAGGAAGGACAATTATCACTCCTTTCTGTCATCAGTATCTACCTTTCCAAAAAAAAATAGCACTTCGGGTTTCCAACATGAGTTCTACATGTTACAGTTCCGTGCTCTAATCTTTGAATTTAACTGCTAAATGAAGTCAAGAATTGTATTTCGCTAAATATTCAGCCCTGTACAATGTATTCCTTTTGCAGCTGCCAGCAAGCCAGGCTTGCAGCTCCCTCCCCTCTTTCATGTGCCGCAAGCACCACTGGTTGTGGTGCATGCTGTGTCATAGCCAAGAAAGGGTAGGGAGAGTGCTGCTCTGCAATCCCCCTATAGAACACAGGAGCGCATACATTCAGAAATAAATCTGCATGAAGTACAGACTTTCCATGTCTCAGCAAGCACTATACTTATTGATCCACCCAGAAATCCTGCTGGGACCTGAGCATTGAAAAATGTGCAATTATGAAGGCAATTTAATATTGAATGCCTTCCTCAGGCATCACCATTCTTTGCTGTACTAAGTACAACTCAACCAAAAGGCAAAAGAAATGCGTCCGAGTTACTGTCACATACAAAATTAGGTGCAGAGAAAGGAAATTTAAACTCACTTTTGCAAAGGCATCTCTGCCATAGGTGGCTTCTTGTTCAGTATGTTGCTTGTCAATGACATCCCGACCTGTAGCTACAGTTCGAAACAAAAGAGCCTTCTCCACCATGTCAGATTTTGTTGACAGCAAGTCTGCAATGATCGACACAACCTTGCCATTTTCTATTACAGGCGTATCACCATCCACAGAAAACTTCAAGTTCCCCTGTAATAGGTAGCAAGAAACTTGATTTCTCAATCTGTCTTTTATTAATATGAATCAGTACACCCCAAGTTCATCCATATTCCACCTGCTATTCAAGTCAGTAAATCTCCTAACACATTAGAAGGGTAGGCCTTGCATATCCATGTACCCACAAAGCTCCAACATCAGTGGAAGCAGCAAAGCCTGACTCAAAGAAAAGCATTCCTGCTCAGTGTTCAGCTCAGCTTGTGGAAAAAATTTACATCAAACACTCAAGATTCAGAGTCTGATCAGATGGGAAATTACGTTAAGCATACAAACGCGGGATGTAGAGTTTCACCTTCACTGCAGAAGCACTAGGCTGCCGTTCTTATTGTAATGCTATTGCCCACAAAGGTAATGTGAAGCTGACAAGTCAGCATGGCTAATAGGACTGGACTGACAGCACACTACCACAACAGATTTGTTACTGAATACCTGCAGTGCCAGAATGAAGTAGCGATACCACTGCATTGTCTGCAGGAGCAGGTGGCCTCCCATCCTGCCTGCAAGGCCTGACTCTGCTCTGCCTTCATTCCTTCCCCAGCACTGTGGCACAACTATCCCAAGGAGGAGAAAGAATTGGAAAAGCTGCAGTTTTCTTTGCCACCCTCCTCCTGCCCACCTGCAGTGTCTCTCTCCTCAAGAAAACCTAAGAGCTAAGCTACAGGGACACTGCACAGGGAAGGAGGCTCTGTGGGTCCCAGGAGAATACAGGTGAAGAAAGGATTTCCTTAACATCAGAATACAGAGAATTAAGAGGTCTCCTGTCTCTGGCTGTGCTCAAGCCTCCACCACGAAGTGAACTACCGTCTTCCCAGCAAAACCACAGTGGTGATGGGGACCATGAGGGCAAAAGGGGACAGAAGGATAGCGACGTGAGAGCTCCCTACCCGCTCACTGCCAAACCCAAACAATTCCTTTTCAGAACATTTAACAGCTCCTAGTACTTAGTATTATGTCTGTTTGGGGATCTGGAGTATGCAGGAATAAATGTGATCTTCCATTATTACTGCAGTGTCCTATTTCATCAAGGAGATTCACTCACCACTGGAAGTTGTAAACATTTTTCTACCCAACAGATCTTCCAACTGCTTCTGCAGCATGAAAGTTAGAGCTGCTGGAAGTACAAGTAAACTGCTTGACCCCTCCTGAAGAAGAGGCTACTCATACCTCTGGGCAGAGAGCTTACCAAGTGAAGAATGGCTGCCACAATTTTGTAGACAGTCTGAATTTCCTCTTGCTTGAAGCCTATCACTTTCATGGCATCAGCTACTGCTTTGAACTCTGCACCATCATTGATGGAACACTGAGGGGAAAGAGATGTTTGCCACATGAGAGGCTTAATGCAAGTCAACTGTGAGAAAGCAAAGGTTTTGCAAGTCCATGGGAAATAGATATGTACTTTGTTATTTTTCAGATGCAAGACACTGTCATGAGATTTCTCAACTTATTCTAATGTCATACCACATGCTTATATGCTGAACCCCACATTGGACACACATGTATACTAGCAGCAATGAGATACAGAAGTGCATCACAGCATGAATAAATAGTTAGTACTTTCCCAGTGGAATTTATCGTGAAAGAGTAGAAGTGATTCATAAAAAAATCAGAACAACAGTTACAAGTAGTGCAGTCACAGACCCTCTGAGTAAAAGCTGCAGAGCACCAGCAGTAAAAATCTGGTCATCATCTTTCTCAAGATGAGCCTCTGCCTCACTCCCCTCCCAATCATCTGGGTTTGTTTTCACTGCAGATTTCCAGAGAAACTGATAAAAGCATCTGAGAAGGTCTGTGGGTTTGTTTGCCAAAGAGCATCTCAAGAAAGCAATTAGGAAATCAAGGAGCCTTTTGTCTGGCCCCTGCTTCAGAGCGACAACACTAGGGACAACTCCAGACACATTTAAAGTGTTCAGGATCTTGTTGTCCTAAAAACTTTATGGGTTCATTCCCTTCTTTCCTGCTCAGAGGCCCCCTTGAGGGTAAGTCAGATATCAAGAATGAATGCTTCAGTAACTTAAATGGTCCTACTGTAAAAAAAAATGAGTCCTTATAGTCCTTTTGACCTTTTTGGTCCAGAAAGCAGCTTAAGTTACCCATTATGAAGCATGAAAGTCTGTCACTGGTAATGGGCCAAATATCTACGCCTGCATTTATTAACAAAGGTGATGTCTCTCCTACTATATTTTACTGCTTTTTATAAGCAGACACAAATGTAGTATGCACAAGTACACATATGCTTTGTCTTCGAGGGCCAGAAGCTCCATTAAAAATAGCACATTGATGTCACCTTTCCATATTCATCCCATAAATTTTGGTCTCAGCTTCTGCTAGCTCAGCAGTACTTTAGGTATTTCAAGAAGCATTTACAATTTTAAGACAAGTTACCTCTAACTCATTGACAGCACCCTCACCTTTAGCTGTGCTCCAGGACAGATATAGTTGTATGCAGATGCATCCTTCTGAAGATGTAGAGAACGTAGCATTTGGTCAGAACCACCCTGGAGTAGCTGTACGAAGAGTATTTTAAGAAATGGTGAATGAAAAAAAAAAAAAAATCTTTCCTTTTCCTGTTTCTTATTCACCTGCTTGACAAGCAAAATCATAAAAACATTAACTAACTGCTACAGAATAATCAGCTACAGTATCTGGAGTTACAAGCACAACGTGCAAAATACAGAGTCTGCATCACTGTCAGGCTCTGACCACCAGAAAGAGGTTGCTTAAATGACTGTCCTTTTGAGTGACACAACTGTTTAGAAAACAAGCCGGAACCTCTTCACAGACCAGACCTGTTTACATGACATGCCACAGCTGTGTCTTGACAAGCACATTTACCTTCTCTACACAGAGACTTTCCAATATGGAAATGACACATTCATGAGAAAGGTGCTAACATGCCATCATGAGAGTACTGAGTAAGTGGGAAAAAAATAAATAAACCTATGTTTCCCTCACTACAAAACTGAGAATAAAGGTTATACTAATAGGCTGACCATTTCCCCCAAAGGACACACAAGGAACCAGCATACAATATGGAAGACATTAAAAAGAACCACCCCCCAAAAAAAAGTCAACTTGGTGTCATAAAATTACTTCCATATGGACTAAAGGCCTCGAGAGAACTTAGAGGGATTACTTATTACAAATAAAACAGTGAGTCAAAGTCCAATATTCTGCCATATTTGTTTAGTTAGCCTCCTTTTAAGTTTACAAATGTGTTAATATGGGAATGGAGGATAGAAAAAAATAAATCTTCCCATGCTCCTTCCCTAGACCAGGCCTCTTCAAAGAACTAAAGAGCCTAAGATCACCCAGGATGCAACAACAAGGGAACCCTTTGCAAAACACATGAGAGGGTGAAAGCTTTAAATATTTTGCCTATCGTGTCTGGGAAACTTGAGAAAAGTCATTTGTTTCAGCAAACGAATACGAACCTGGTAAAAAGAATGAAAGCTTCGTTCTCCCGGTTGTTGCACAATCACACGAGACTGTGGAGAAACAAAATACAAAAACAGGTATTTCTGGTTGTGGACAGCCTGCTTCCCCAGCACCTCCCCTTAGACATGGATGCATTGGTTCACCACTGCTAGGACACCTCCAAACTAATCTTATCTTATAATAAGTCTGTTATGAACACCATTAGCCAGGCACGACCATGGAGTTTGAAGTCTATAATCAAAAAGACCAGTTTGCGTTAACAGCTGCAATGTCTTACTTCCAACCAGGAATCCCACATGGAACTACAGAATTGTTTTCATGGAAGAGTCAAATAAAATGCCATTTTCGTTTAAGAGTTATTTAATTGCTGGAAATGAAAAACAGGACTCCGACTACAAACCAATGCTCCATAGGACATAGTTAGGGTCTTATGGTAATCACTTCTACAACCCCAGGACAGGCTGACCAACAGCACCCAGCCACCATCCAAGTGAATGCTCTGCTCTAACACAAGGGCATTGTTTTAGGGAGCAAGCGATAGCTCCATATTCACAGCACTCGTTCCAAATCAGTGTAAAACAGCACCAAAAAAAAGTTACATGCAGTAGAAATTCAGTCAACAAGCAACATAACCTTATTTTATGCTACAAGTTTGAACTACAGAGAGTGACGAAGCGTGTGTTCGTGCTGCAGTGCAAAGTCACTGCCTGTTAACTGCTTCTGTTTGGACCAGAACCTCAACTGCTTTCAAAATGGAAACAAATTTAACTTGGTAGAAGTCAAGAATATGAAATAAATGATCAGGATTTAAGTCACTGCAGCTGCAGCCCCACCCCTTTTTTGCATTAAAGTATCCCATGTTAAATGTTTGGGTTTGTTGTTTTGTTTTTTTAAAATAAAGTGTTTATTCTGAAAATAGACTTCAGGGAAATAAAGGGAAAAGTAAAAAACAAACAAAAAAGCATGTTAGCAGATGTTGTCAAACATAAAAATTAAAGCCAGACGTGTGTCTCACACATAACAAGAACTGTTAATAGATTACTCCCAGTTTCTCTACAGAATTTTACATATTCCCATGTTTTCAGCCACCACTTAATGACATGAAAAAAGAATTATGCTCAGGATCACTTGGAATATATAAAAACAAAGTTACTAAAAGATCACACAAGGTTGTGGCATTATTCCAGAATAACACTTCTCAAGCATACCATTGCTACTTACAGACCTAGTATCTTCTCCTTTTATTCACCAGTGAGATCTCAATGCGGGAACTTATAAAGAAGGAGTTTTGCAGACATTAAATTAATCTCAGCTTTTATTCTGGATACAAAGTACATACACCTATATGCACATAAGCTTTTGGGTAATAGTCCCTTATGTGGTGAGCTCTGAAAGCAGTGGTGTTAAAGTAACAGGGCACTGCCAGTATTTCAGCAACTTTTCAATTAATTATAATAACTCTCGAACAAAAATTGAGCCCTAGATTTAATGAGATTCTATGGCCTCATGTCACTTGTTGACATACCACGTTTGAAAGGGAAACTTTCTAACGGCAAAGCACATATTACAAAAGTAACTGCACAAAAGCTTCTAACTCTAAAAGTGAGTGTGGCTTACCTTTTCTAGTAAGTAATTATTGATATGCCCACCTATCGGGTCTCCTTTAAAATCAAAGTTGATATCCATATATTTTCCAAACCTGCTGGAATTGTCATTACGGTTTGTTTTGGCATTGCCAAAGGCCTCTAACACACAGTTGGATTTCAGCAGTATGTTCTTCACTCTATAGTACAGATAAATGGAAAAGAGAACAGGGTAAGTCCATACTCAAACCATAGAATTTTTTTTTGCAGTCATTTCTCGAGAAGAATTTAATAACAGCAGAGATGCTCTTTGATGACATATTTGGGCAGATGTATATGGCATTATCAATCCCATGGGAAATCAGCTGGGAGCTTTTGTCAATGTTCCTTAGAGCCAAGCAAATGCAAATCAAAGGCCAGATGCCTCCACTGAAAATAGCACCAAATATTCAGTTCCTTTACAAATATAAGTTTTGAAACCAATTTCTTGAACTTTTTTGCAAGTAATTTTCAGAATTTCTGTCAGGATAGGTATTAAGTCTGTTTCAGCAGAAAGCCACATTCTTTGCTTAAAACCTTTTACTCTAGGACTGACAGGCACATTTTGCAATTCAGAAGCATGCAAGCCTGCAAGCTCATGGAATATGCTCCCTGCGCTCAACATGCTATTCTAACAGGCACATATTTCAGGCAATTTGCCACAGAAAAAATGATTTCTAGATACTGTTTTTATTTTGGAAGTTTGAACTTTCAAAATAAACTTTTCTATATGATTTTAGCAATCGGTAATGCAAAATTCCCAGAGTAAGAGTAGTATCTGAAGAAGTTAAGTAAATGCTGTAAAAATCAGCATGTAATTAGTACAAGAGACCATTTAATAACATGGCACTACACAGTCCACAGAAAGAGATCCATAAATAAAACAGTTTCACTTATTTTTCTGCAAAGCCCTTACCTTTCCACCTCAGCCCTCTGACTGGGGTTAGTAATGGCTGCTATGTACTGCATAATATATTTACTGGCTTCAGTTTTCCCAGCCCCGCTTTCACCTGAGGGCATAAATACAAAGGTGACAAAACAGATCAAAAAAAGCAAAGCAAATCACTGAACAGTAGATCTTAATTCTACCCCAATAGCGTTTGGGGGTTTTGTTACTGTTTTTTTTAAAGCAATCTTATTTGCATGCACTTTGAACGTTTTCTAAATATAGCCATAACCCTGTCTTGGTTGTTGCTGCTATGCTGACTTAGAAGCAGTTATGATGTAAGATTTCACACGTTGGTCAAAGGCCTGGCACACAGAGGATCAAAAGGAATATTGTTAGAGGAGAAAGACTGGCATGCAGAGGCTTGGCTAGCAGCACTGCCGGGAACTGCAATACAAGAAGCTACTGTTCAGCACACCATCTCGGGTCTCTCGCTTTTCAGGGCTGCTAAAGCACGGGAACATCAAGGAAACGAAGTGCCAGGATCCAGATAGTGACCATTCATGGTACAAGCACTGCTCCCACTGTTAGAGCCACGACAAGCAATGAGTCTGGCCATCGAAACAGAGAACAAAACATTGGCCAGTCATCTAAGGGACAAAAATCAGCAGTTCTCTAAAGACAGACAGGAACCCTGTTCTCACTGATCTCCATTCACACAGACAGAGCAAGCAGAGGACTGATGTTCTAGTTATCCCTTTGCATGCACAGATTAAGCTAATGACTGACACCAGCTCTTGAATTTGATACAAAATAATTGTAAGGTCTCCACACATGGATTCAAATGCAAATAAACAGGTTTAAGATTGATGAAGTTTTCTTTTATAAAATGCTGTCATTAGCCAATTCATTCTCCTTTCTCTGCCTAGAATTTCACAAAGATCAAGCGTTCATCATAATAAAAAGCTCTTTCAGCTTACCTGATATTACAATACAGGTGTCTTTTGATCGCCTCTTCATTGCTTTGTAAGCAGCATCAGCAATTGCAAAGAGGTGAGGAGGCCTCTCATACAATTCCCTTCCTTTGTACTGCTCAATCATGTCACGCCCGTAGATGTTCAAGTTTTTGTAAGGATTCATGGAAACGACCACCTCCCCAATAAACGTATAAATCCGTCCTTTTTCAAACCTACCCAGGATGAGACAAAAGGGAGAAAGGGATTAGTCAGACATAGAGATTCAGAATATGTCTTCCAAGCAAGTTGCCCATTTCATCAGGTGAGCTCTTCAATCCATCACCGTACTGAAACATTACAATAAAACATTGACTACGGACATTATCTGACCAGTGTGGCCTGGATGGCATGTTAGCATATTATGTAGAGACCTGATGTTACAAGGACTAAGAACTAGGGCTAGCTTTGAATCTTACCAGCTACAAAGGAAATGTCTACTGCTGTTTCACTTACCAATGCATGATTGATCAGATTACTGAGGTACAAACACCAAGTATATTTCTGAGTATAGCAAACTTCTGCTTTGCTGACACAATCAAGCTGGCTTTCTGCATATTCAGGTATTTTTATTGCCATTAACATGCTGCCAGAAACAAATGTTTCTAAGAAATTCTTTAGCAAGATTTAAGTTAATATAATTCACTGTTTCTACATAGACAATAAGTAAACATGAGTCTGTGATGAGTTTATATAATCTGCTTCACAAAGGGGATTTAAAGGCAAATTCTTTTTCCACATTCTACAGTTGTCCATAACCCAGCTCAGGCCAGAGCAGAAGTTTTGAAGCCACTCACTTAGAGGTCTAATCACATTTGCAAGAAAGTAAACAAAGATACAAGCCAAGAAGCAAATTACAGCCTTTCAGCTCTCGCGATTAGCTTCCACTCCACCCTTTTCGCTAGAAGGCACTTTGGCATCATCACTGCTACTAAACCAGAAGCGAAAGCTTTTTAAGAACGTGTGAAACAACCCTAAACTACACCTTTCCTAAACCCCACCTGGTCCGTAGTATTTTTTCTGCAAACAAGACAGAAAATAACTTGATGTTTAAGTTAAAAGATATTTCCAAAGAAATTCACATTTTATTGAAATTTATCTAGCAGAAGAGCACAGAAGGAATTTCAGATTAACAGCTGAAGTATTCATACTGCATTTGCTTCTCAGGAGGAGAAAGGACGACAGCAGATTTAGAGATCAACATGCAAACTATAGCACTTCTACCATTAAATACCTGTCTGCACCCTGTATTTAAATCTTACAACATTAGATGGCACCACAACACCTCTATAGACTACAAGGGCCTTCCTAATCCTTGATGAACTCCAGCACAAATTCTAGCATTACTTTATTGAATTTATTACCACCCCCATGTGGTGACAGGCTTGACATTTTCCATTGTTCATTTGAGAATTTTCTGCAGCATCTTGGCAGTGTTAGTTTTTAGCAGGTGTAATAAAACTCAAGAAATACAATCTAGCAACCAGCATTCTACTTTCTAAAAGTGATTTTGCCTCTAATTGCAGCTTCCTCCAGAAATACTTCACTGAAAAGGCACAAGAATTGCAAAATGTCTTTTTGTTCATGCACTCAGTTTTAGCTGAAGGTATTCCTGATATGCATCTCCCAAAACATTTGTGAACTTAAAATGCAAAGATATTTTATGTTTTAGAGATATATGCTGTTTGAGAGCTACCAAAAATGTTTTAGAAAAGGCCTTTACAATTAGCAATACCAACCACAGCTCTCGCAACAAAAATGATGGGTAATGCACAGGCAACAACACCAAGCAACTAGCACGCAAGCCTGGTAAGAAATACAGGATCACAGCCTCATTCTTAAGACAGACTTAGGTAACACAGGAAGCCTCACACGCTCAGTCCTTATCATTTCCCATCCCTAATTTTAATTCCTAGAAGCACAAAACAGCTGGGAATTGTGGTATTTGAAAGATACCAAACAGGCAGAAGACACACGCGGGTGCAAAGAGATCAGATACCAGGCTGCTCGTCTTCTGCCCTCTCAGGAGCACATGTGGGACTCTACATATACATAGGAGAGCTTAAGAAAAACCAAACACACACAACACTGTTTCTACGAAGGAGATCAAGTCACACTGGGACATACATATGTAAGGGAAACCATTACAAGGACATCAAAATCAGCAGAATCCTTCCCATCTTTTTGGAGATGGGCCATCCAAAGAAAGCAAGTTGCCCAATGGAGAACATATAGACCACTCGCCTAAAGTCACTACACAGCAGGAACATAAGCACTGCTTAAGGCACTATTAATGATAAAAATAAAGATACAGCAGTTTCTGGATAAGGTTTTAAGCCCCACTGTACTGCCAGATGCATGGCCAGTGGGTTCATGGTTAGCACAGAGAGGTTGAGGGGTTTGTTTTAGCTGCTGAGAAGGAAAAAAAAAAAAAAAAAAAAAAAGGACATCCTTACTGAAGTATCATGCCAAGTCACCATCACAGTACCCAATACTTTGACCTCTTCCTTAAGTAATGAATTATGTAAACTTTTGGTCGCAGAGCACAGTTTAAGTTTCCTCCCTTGACAGTTCAGCGTCCCCAACTGCCTCGTAAGCAGAACCTACAGATTTGCCTCTGCCAGCCTGGCCCACCGCCGGCTGGTCAGAGCTCACCTCTCCAGGGGAGCCCCCTTGACCGGGGCACGGCTCAGCTTTGGAGCCGTTACAGCTGTGACACCAACACATACCACAGCAGTGTGACATACCAACAGCTTGCTCCCCAACAGCTCTGGGCTTAGACGACAGATCTCACATTTGGCCTAGAAGTCAAGTTTTAAAAGGTTTTACTAGACTCCGACAACTTGGGTCTTCAATCTCTGTGGCAAAAGGCAGATGGAGATGACGGAGAAGGATCCACCTCCAGGCTTGACAAATGGGCATCTCTCAAGCTTGGCTTTAGGGATACAGAGTTTAGGAACAACCAACATCCCCCTTTATCTCTCTGGTTTTTGTTTTTTGGGTTTTTTTTCACTTCTTAGCACTGGAGTTAAAATTCCAGAGCTGTGCTTAGATGTTCCTAAAAGGAGCCATCGCTCCTTGCCCCTCCTTGCTGATAAAGCCTCTTTTCATCACACAGTGCAGCTCTGCACAGCAGCAGGCCAAGAACAGCAGTGGCTGTTTTCCTAGCTGCATTGCTTTGGTGTGAGATTCGTGGTTTTCCTTGCCCAAGAAGAACTCATGAAAACTTAAGAAAACAACCAATGATGGCAGTCCAAACTGGGAGGTACAAGCTGTGTTAAATTCGCTATTCTTCTGCAAGGCAAGGTTACAAAACCAGACGACGAAGCTATCCGGTGCTTTTTGGAAAGGCTCATCAATTGGGGCATTGCACTGCATCACAGGAAAGCTCATCAAGATGAAGGACAGCATAATCATTTTAGCACTAAGCATATAACACATAGATTGCTTTTAATAACAAAAATCCAGTTTTACAGTGCACTTGATAAAAGGAACCCCTGTACCTACTCCTGGGGGTCGGCACTCCCAGGGTCAAACCTTGTTTTGTATGTATCATGAAAATCACATCACCTTGTGCTGCAACTTTGAGTAAAGATTTCCCTGTAATGATTCTATTTGAATAATTTCTGTGTTTTCTGAATTTTGCACTAGCTCAGCAGCCAAAAAGAAACTCACAGTATTTAATCCTTGTGTGTTTTTTTGATGAGGAACATCAGCTCTTTTATAAGAAGTTTTTATACTAGTTTTTATTACCTTGTTAAAACCTCGATTGATAATGAGAAAATATAAACCAGTAAGTCACAGACTATAAATCATTTAAAGGGATAGAAACTGTTGTCTAGGAAAGAAGACTGCCAAGGCAAGAAAAAGGCTCTTTCTTTGTTTTGTAGTTTTTATTTTTAGGGAAGGTTGTTGGAAAAAAACATATCCTCAAGTCCAGACGTCCTATGTTCACATCCAATTGCCATTGGAAAATACCCTGCAGAAATCAGAAAACTCAAGCAGAAATCTTCGCCACCAGAGAGCACTCACATTTAGGATTTCTCCCACCTGACAAACACTCCAGTCAAAAATAAAACTGTTCTTACCGAGGAAATGATGCAACTTCAAATGCACTCAGTACAAATAAAGAAAAGAGTTAGTTGGCAAGACTTGGAACCCATACTCCAAAACAACATCTGCAGAACGCAGACCATTAAACAAAGGCACCATACCATGCAATCGCCACTCCAAATGCTGCAATTCAAATTATAAAGGGAATTCCTAATTAATCATTTACATGGTAACTCCTCTGTACCGAAAGATAAACAGAAACTTGTCAGGATCAGACACCAGGCAGCACTCTGCAGGCTTACTGCTATTTCTAGAATTCAGCGTACTTTCTGAGATAACCTATGCCAGCTACCCGGGGATCAGTTTGCAGTGAGATCATAGGCTGGGCTTCACTGGGGTGTGAAACGGCTCCTCAGAAACACATTTTGCCAGTCTTTCTCTCCATCTGTCTAATATCTGAGGAGCAGAGCAACTGCTGGAAAAATCATGTCAAGTCGCCAGTCCTCTCATTTTCTGTTACTTTAAGAGAGCTAAAGTGTAGCTATTGGTATTATGGATCATTTTCCCCTGGGAAAAGACCTCCTCTCACCTGGAACTACTCCTTTCTTCCCACTGATCACAGATTGACATCATATTCTGCTTTACATACATGCAGACATGCTAAAGCTTTCCCACATTAGCAGGTGCTCAGTAAAGGTCCTTGGTGCCCCGATGCTACGGGGATGCTCCAGAAACAGAACATCTTCACAAGAAGTCACAACACAGCCATTAACTGAAGATGGACTTTCAGTTTAACTGTACAGCAGTGGCTTAAAGCAAAGGAATTGTTAATAAAAAAAGCAAAAGCAAATAATTCAGGACAGATACAGGAGTGCTACAGATGCATCAGCCTGTGCTAGATAGTCAACAGCTAACCTAGTACCAGTGAAGGTTAAAAGAATAAAAGCTGATCGTTTCAAACTATTATCTATTTCCAACTTACTCATTAACTCCAAAGCACAAACTGAAATATTTAGTATGAGCATACTGCTTTTTCTTCCTCCCTCCTTTGTGCATGGGAGGAAGAATGATCTAGCAGCTGTACACCTCGCTGGCATGTAGAAGAGGGACAATTCCTTCTCCC